CAACTTAAGAGTTTTGGATGTTTACTCTCCCTTTTTCAAAGTGTAATCTGAGCTTCTTCAGAGTTTAATTCCCAGACATTTTTCAGTTTGAGGTTATGACTCGCTGCTTCCTCCACCTGCACAGACCGACAGTGTGAACCTAAACTCTGTACAGCGTGTGCTTCCTGTTTTTGTACAACATCTTCAGATCACGAGCGGAAACAGCATTTAGATGTTCTACTTTAGTAAACATACAAATACAACAATTTATTATCTAAATGTACTGATACGTTTCAAAGTACTGGTCTTGCATTAAAACAGTTTGCTTAAAAAATGATTTTATTTTTGAGCTGATCATATGCTTCTTATAATGTACAATGTTCTGTTGTAACAGTGACGTGACCACAGCTGTTCAACAAATGCAATAGAGTAAAAGTATAAAGTAGCATCAAATGGAAATGTATATCATGTTTAATTTGATGCTGCATCAGATAATGTCATTTAACTCCCAGATATTTTATTCATTTATAATGATTTGTTATCATCATAACTTTACCTGTTAGCCGGGAGTTCTTCCCAAAACATGGCAGAAGTAAATTAGCCTTAAACTTGTCAGGTAATTAAATCACACAGAACCCAGCATAAACAAAGTACTTTACAAAAGAAGATGAAAACTATTTAAAATGAAACTCATATGACTTAAAGGTGGGGTAGGTAATTCACTTCAGAAACACTTTTTGTTATATTCCATGAAATGCTCTTAACATCCCGATAGCAATGAATATATGAAATGCTTTGACAATAAATACATAAACAAAATAATCTGTGGAAGCCATAGTACTGTAAAAAGCACGACCAATCACCTGAGCCGGCCAGGGTCAGATAATTGGATGGCCTACCTGCCTGTCAGCCTTCCACCTGTGCACAAACTTATCTCGTGCCCTCATTGGTCATGTGCACGTTCGTGTGTGTTGGAGGAGGGGCTCTGTACGGAAGTCTGAATGAAGGGGCAGATTTTTTCCGGTTGTGTACTTTCCAATTCTAGGGCACTCAAACTGGTTTCTCCATTCTTACCTACCCTACATTTAAACTCCATGCATTGCATTCTGTGCACTAAAGGCCACAACATAAATTTTGCAGAAGTAATGTCCATTCATGCAACTGTATGTGCTACACATAATATAAATATAGGAATGTCAGTATAAATATAAACATATATGGATACTTACCCCTCTCCTCACTGTGTGCAGACGGGAAGGTGGTGGGTTTCGTCATGTACTACTTCACGTATGACCCCTGGGTCGGCAAACAGCTGTATCTGGAGGAGTTCTACGTGATGGACGAGTACAGAGGTAAGGGAAAAGAATGGCTCAGCATTCAGCATTTCATTATCTCGTCAGATGCTTTTTTTATTTAATGAGCTCTCTCTCCCCCTCTCTCCAGGAATGGGCATTGGCTCTGGGCTTCTGCGCCACCTCAGTGATGTGAGTATGTTTACTGACGAGAGATACATTGAGTTGCAATGGTGCACATTTTCCATTTGAATGTTTAAAACCTGAGAGAAAAAGCAAACAAATCCGGGGAAATGTTTGTGTTTCCCCTTTTTGTATCAAGCCAGCTTTTCCTTTGGATCTGTTTTCTCGTCAGACTTTTATAAGTACACATGTTAACTGTAATCCCTGTCTCTCTTGCAGCTGGCGATGAATACGCGCTGCACTGGCATGATGTTTGTGGTGGCCGAAAACAACGAGCCGTCCATCCAGTTCTACAAGCTGCGCGGCGCCGAGGATCTCTCCCAGGAGGAGGGCTGGAGGCTCTTCAGGTTCAGCAAAAACAGCCTGGTGAAGATGGGCACGCCAGCGGAGGAGTGACGGAGGAGGAGGCTGATGGAGACAGAGATCAGTCGCTTCGCTCCACTCAGAGTTCAGCTTTTTAAAAAGGGGAATTGTGTTTCACAGTAATGTTTCTGTTTGTAGTTCACAATATGAGTAACCCTTTTGTTACCCTTTCGCCAACATGTAGCTCTGAATCACTTATTTTAACCTCTTATTTTATGTTGGCATTACTGCGTTTGATTGCAGAAACGTTTAATATGACTAAAGTTTGAAATAAAACTAACTTTTCAAACATGGTCTCATGCTTTAAACTTTTCTTTAAATGCCTTTTAAACTATGCCAGTTTAATAATATTTGTTTGACTAATTTTCAAACTGCAGCTGTCACTTTACATTGGGAAGTTTAACATTTAGATTATACACGGTCTTAAACATAGTACTACAAGTTTTAAGACATGATCAATGTTACATTTATCCTTAAGTGTATAAAAATGAACTAGATCTTAAAGGTGTATCACACAAATGTGGCTTTGAATTGGATGAGCAGTCGATTCACGCCAGCTTCCAGCAGACATGTAAGACATTACATTACATGTTAATTGTTAGACGCTTTTATCCAAAGCGACTGACATACTCAATACTGTGGACAACTCCCACAGGAGCCATTTGGGGTGAAGTGTCTCAGGGACACAACGACATGCTGACTGCAGTGGGGTTTGAACCTGTGCTACCCTGATCTGAACACCAACGCACTAGTCCACTGCGCCACACGCCTCACAGTCAGATGAGTGTTAATCTTTTTTACACATTGTAATGCGGATATGTTACGTTCTAAATGTACACGGGTCAGTGTATTTCCTGTGTTTTCACCGCCTACTTCCACATCAGCTTAGAGGGTGAACAAATGGTCTCCATAAAGTTGTGTGTATATATATATATATATATGTAGCTCTGAAACTGGGCATACTGATGTTCCCACTGATGGATGCTTTAAACAATGTGCAGATAAACAGTTAAACCTCATGTTGCTACTCCCTTAGCGGGGAAACACGGGAACGTGATGTTTGTACTGAACAAAGATTGATATATTTTTCGCTACTTTGGCAGTTTTTTCACACGCAGCAGCGCACATGTGACAACTGGATATTTTCAACGGGCGTTTTAAAGATTTGAGGAAGTTCAAAACTGTTTTGGTGGGGTTCCTTTTGGTTCCTCTTGGAAGTCTGTAGTCATGGTTTTATCACATGCATGTTATTTCTGCTGATTTTGCGTCTATTCGGTTAGTTAGTCATCATTGCAGTTGAATAAATATAAAAAACTTGACACTTGCATCTAATCTATATTATATAACTCTTCTCCTTCCTCTCATTACTATTGCTGCCATGACACCTGATTTTCCGTACAGGGATTCATATAGTTCTTATTTTATCATGTATTTAGAAATAGAAGTTTGGTATATTATTAGATTAAATATATTTTGAAGTACTTTATTGATCCCTAACTTTTTGTTACAGCAGCATCTTACCTAGGCATTTGACATTAGTTAAAAATAAATATAAATAGTTAATATAAATATCAACAGTAGTAGTAATAGGTAATTATATTGTGTTCAGATTTTTGAGTGTCATTTAAGAAGGTTATCGTTTATTCTAACTTTTTATTTATATTGTGTATTCATTGGATACTACATATAAATATATAACTGTTGTGCAAATGCTTAATAAACTGCTGCTGATTTAACATAAGAATTTAACAATGTTGGATCCAAAAAGTAAATTCCTCTTTGTCACCTCATGCTGCTTTAAAAAACAGTGTATAAAACATGTTAATGGGTATAATTGGTTTTAAATTAAGTTCCTTTAAACCCACATCAACATTGGGAGGGTTCAGAGGAGTCGCATCGTATCCTCTTCAGAAACATTACATCACGGGTCAAGAGATAAATCAGAACCGGAGGGAGAAAGGGAAGAGGAAACTAGATTAAAGGGAAACATTCTCACACACACACAGCTCTGGTTTTTCTCTGGACGTGCTGATGATGATGATGATGGTTGACTACATCATCACGAGCCAGACATATATAAATTGCAGAAAAACAACAAGGCGGGGGGGGGGGGGGGGCTTACTCCAGTAACTCCTTTTAATGTTTTAGTAATTTATACACGATCTGACAATTAATTAATTTGGTACTTAATATCTATTTATATATTATGACACACTTACTCACACAACCAGGGCCGGCCCTAGACATTTTGGTGCCCTAGGCGAGATTATGATTAGGTGCCCCCTCCCTAGCAATACATAATAAAATATATAAAGAATAAATGAAAAATCTCTACAAAAGACCAATACACTACAAAAACGTATTGACATGTTGGTTATATAAAGAAGGTTTCAAATGTATTCATTATTGTATATGAACATGTTTTAATTGGGGGGTGGACGTCACATCCTCTAGGGCAGTGCTTCTCAAAGTGTGGCCTAGTGGTCCGTGAGTATATTGGTAACATTTCACATTTGAAATAAATAAATAAATTTAAGTTTTCCGCACTCTTGCGGGAATATCTCCGCAATGGAGCGAGGTTACAACAGCACACCTTCATCACACATGTTGCCACTTGTTTGTACCATTTTCAGGCGATTTGTAATGTGTTTTTTTTTATATTTGTGGAGTTAGGTGGTTCGCGAGTGTTTTTTTATTGGTTAAGTGGTCCTTGGTATGAAAAAGTTTGAGAAACACTGCTCTAGGGGGGTCCAGGGATATGCCCCCCGGAGTGTGCGCTGCGGGCGCCTGATAAGTCAACATCCCCCACTTTCATCACTTACAGCGCCCATCGTACAAGGCAAATGCAAAATGTTGCCGCCCAGGGTGCAAAGGGTGTTTACTTTATTCAATTATTAATGTAAATGTATTACATCAAGGGCAGAAAATCAGGCAGAATACATTTTTTTTTAAATCTCCGGAGACCGCGGAGTCTACACATGTGCAGCCTCGAAATATCTCGCTACGAAGTACGCCGGGCCGGCCTCGGTAGAATTCCAAGTATGCTGGACATTGGAACAGTCCTTCGGCGGGACTCGATGACGTAGTATGCTTTAAATAGTGGCTCTGGAGCAGCCTTCTTCAACATTGAGAAACACCCATGTACACCGTAAATACTCCCACAAAAAAAAACATCAAAGAAGAAAAGATGTGTCCTTTTCAGAATCCAGATTTATTTCCGTCGCAATAAGATAAAACCTTGTACAGTATATACAGCGCATTATTATACATGGACAACACATACATTTAGCTCATTAATTATTATACATCATTTGATTTGGCCCTTTACTGTAACAAGTACGTTTTACCAGTATCAACTGCGATGTGAAAACATCCGGGGGAATAAATATGTCGACATGAATAATTTTTTTTATGTATACTGTTGTAAGCTTCACTTGACAACGACAGCTCTTCAAAGCCGCCCGTATAATGTTCATAATAATAAAAATAACTTCATAATGCAAAGAAAAGGCAAAAAATAGTTGGTCATTTTGAGAAAAGTGCAACAAAAAAGTCCATCAGCAGAGATGACAGGTAGTTGGCAAATAATGATTTTTGAACTAACATTACAACATATAATTTATAAATGTTTTTCTAGTCTGCATTGGTCCTTCTACTTAGTTTTTAAACTTCTTCACTGGTTTTTAAAGCATTTCTGCTTACAAACACAAGAAAAGACAAACAGCACAAATTCATTAATTACTACTCTTTCCATTCCAACTAATTCCAAAGATGACATTTTCTTACTGCTTTTAAAGAGAAATGCACTTTACTCGAAAGTAAGAGGACGGAAACCAACAATTCTAACATTTGGGGAAATTAAACCATCGAAAGATACATGATTTGCAAAATAGTGGCTGATTAATTGTATCTCAGTTGTTTCAGCTGTAACAGCGCATTTCTTAGTTTGTAGCATGGGAAGTTGTGTTGTGCAGCTCCAACAAATAAAAGAATGAGGAAGTGACGCTGGCAGAGACAGTCCTGTTCTGCTGCACATTTGAGAACAAACACTGCAGAAACTGACACCATGGAAAGAGAAAATGGGAATGATTAGCTTCTCCAAGAAGCAGATACACAGGTTTATCTGGATATTCAGAATATTGACTATCCTGAAAATACCTGCTTCTTGGAAGGGGGGGGTTCAGAAACACACTTCACACGTTTTGGAGATGTTCAACTTAAATAAATAATGACGTCCTTATTAGTGGCTGTGTGTCTGAGTGAATAATTATAATAAGAGTTAATATACAGGAGTCGTACAGGTGTGTGTGTGCGTTTCTGTGTGTGTTACTGGAAAGTGGAGTCTCAGCTTGTGTCGCTGCTCTCTGTTTTCTCTTTTTTCTCCTGAGCAAAAGGAAGGAAAAAAAAGACTTTTAAACAAAAGTTGTAACAATTAACATCAATATACACAATATTAATAGTAAAAAAAACGTTATTTATATTGCACTTTTGAAAACAAAGAAGCAAAATGCTTTCAAAGGCAAAATTAAAATGGTGAAAACGATGTTAAAAACATTTGAAAACAACCTCAACATTAAGCAAAAGTAGGTACATATGAGAAATGGAATATTTCAAACAATATAAAATAATGTAGTAAATATATAAATAGATTTTAAGAAGGGATCATCGCTATTGTAATTAAAGGCTTATGAATGATTGGTCACTGAGACCCACCTTCTTTTTTCCAAACGGAGGATACTTCCAGAGACTCTCCAGGTTGCCGCGGCCACGCTGAGCCAAGCTGTATGTCGAGTCACGACCCCCCTGGTGAACACACAGGAAGAAACATGACACACACATCCGTCATCTCTCAGCCAATCAGAAACCTTTGGATAACATCCATCTAGTTATCTTAGGAAAATAGAAAAGAGGTTAAGAGTTCAAGCTACTTTTGCTGATGCCGTAGAACTGTGTCATATCTTTTTTTTAACAACACCAATAACATCAATAGATTTGCCATTATTACTGTAAATAAAAACACTGCATTGGGTTTATAAGTTTGCAGCTTTTCTCGTTTTTTGCCAAACAGAAGCTAAACGTCTTTTTTTATCTCGCCCGCTCACATGTTTTCACATCTGGACCCTGCCCTGCTAGTCTGAGCGTTTCAGCTGTGAATGTGAGCAGAAGTGTGATCAGGGCGTGTCGATTCTCTTTTTTTTGTGTCGGCTCTCTGGGTGGAAATACAGAAAATAAAATGAGCCAGACATCAGTGGAAATAGAAACACAAGTCACAGCCAGGACTTCCTGCAGGGAAGCACAGCCCTTTCCTCACAGGAAGTACAGTCACAGATCAAACACTACCTAACGCATATTCTGATGAGACACCGTTTATAGGATGAGGGGGGGATTTTCCTAAATAACTCCCTTAGGATGAACTTTCTGTCTCAAAAACGTACTAACCAGGAATAATTTGGAAGTGAAAAGAAATTCCTGCTTTCACAGCTGTTTCCTGAGTTTATTTAAGTTCCAGGAAGGAAGATTAAATAAAGACCTGAAAACAGATGAAAATGTTTTTGCTGACTTTGTTAACTATCCAGTGTCCCGTGGTGTACAAAATGTTATGGAACTGCAATCAATATTTCCACAAAATCGCCTTTAGTCAGATATCAGATTTAGGAAACAACTCGGGATATATTAGGTTGTCAAGATGTTTCATGAGGCAGTGTGACGTTTTATACAGATATGACCCTGATGTACAGCTGAGGCCTAAATTATTAGCCCCCCAGGAGTTATGGAACATTCTCCTAAAATTCTTCCCAATGTTTCCAGCATTGATAAAACTTGATATAATCTAACATTCACCAGTGCTATTTAGTAGCATTTGGTACATTTTGGAACATAAAATAAGTTTTTAGGCTTGCTTTATATTAAATATAGTGAAAAATGGGTTGGTCAAAAATATTAGCCCCCAGGCCATTAATAGTCAATTGTGTAGCCTTTCTGAGCCACAACTGACAACAACCTCTTAGAGTAGTTCTTTACTAGGTTGGCACAGGTCTCTTGAGGGATTTTGGCCCATTCTTCCATTGCAAATTGTTCCAGCTGGTCCAAATTGCGTGGTTTCCGAGCATGGACATTCACTTTGAGCACCCGCCAGATTCTCAATAGGGTTAAGATCTGGGCTCTGTGCGGGCCACTTCAGCACCTTGGTGTTGGTGTCCTTTAGGAACTGTTGGACCAGAACATCACTCCAGCCAGGTCAGTAACAATCATCTTGGCAGATGTCCGGGGATTCTTGCTGACATCTCTGACTATTTTCCTCTCCAGAGTTCTTGAAATCTTGTGCTTTCGACCACGCCCAGGTTTGTTTTCTTACAGAATTTTTCTCCTTGTACTTCGCAATGATGCAACGTTCAGCAGTTCTAGACACTGTGAAGCGCTTGGACATAGCAGTATAGCATTCCCCCTTATCATGAGCCTCCACTGTCTTCTTTCTGAGCTCAAGACTGATTTCCTTTGTCTTTGGCATGGTGAGTAGGAGTAGTAGTATAGTCCCTCTCAATAAGGTATTCAAGTGCCTGTTTCTTGGAGTCGTTTTATGCTGATTGAATGCTCAGGTGTGGCTTGAAAGCCGATTGGTTGATCAGGTGTGGCTTGAAAGCCGATTGGTTGATTAGGTGTGTTTTGAAAGCAAAGATTCACATGGGGGCTAATATTTTTGACCAACCCATTTTTCACTATATTTGATATAAAGCAAGCCTAAAAACATATTTTATGTTCCAAAATGTACCAAAAGCTACTAAATAGCACTGGTGAATGTTTGATTATATCAAGTTTTATCAATGCTGGAAACATTGGGAAGAATTTTAGGAAAATGTTCCATAACTCCTGGGGGGAAAATAATTTAGGCCTAAACTGTATATTTCCAAAACAACACAAACCTTCAGTACGGACGCAGCCTGCTGAGGGTAGAACATGGAGGCGCTGAGAGCCATGAGTCCAACAGGAAACACCACCTGCTTCACCCTGGAGCCTGAGAGGAGGGAGCAGGAGTCAGAGAGCTGCTGCAGAGAAATGACTGTTTCCAATACTTCTCTCAAAGACAGACGGACAGCTCCTTGTTTGTGTGATGTCCCCTGCTACTGGGTCTTATAGTTGTTGTTTATTAGTCAGTCCTGTATAGGCAAAGCTCATTATTTTGAACAAAATCATGATGATTCTCAGATATGGTGATTAAATTAACCTTAAAGATTTCTTTGATCTTGAGTTATCAGAGAAAGAAGTGCAGGGAGAAACTTTGATTTTTAACATCAAACGGCTTCATTCACTGTTTTTGCCAGTTTTAATCAGAAGAGAGGAGGAGACGCTCAAAACCTCCTGAACCATAAACACTAAAGTAATCCATACCGGGAAAAGCTGACTGAATCGATGGAAATTAACGCCACCAAACAAATGGTTCCGTTAAAAGAGCAATCAAAGACACCCGAAAGTCATATCAACATTTCCAATTCTCTTGAGGTGGATGGGGAGCGGTGGGAATTTGTATTTGTTTGTAGTAGAACACAGACTGACGCTTTCACTGAAATGCCAATTATGATAGAATGCAGGTCAGTGAGTGTTTTTGTGTGGGTGCAAATGTTAACCTTTGGCCAAGAAAAGTCCAAGGATGCCAGAGAAGCCCACGGCCGCCACACTGTCGTAGAGGTCAGCAGGGGGGTTACTGAGGAACTGGTACACATCTGAAAAATAAAAGGGGAGAAGAAAATGTAAATATATCTGAAAACGTGAAGACACCTGAGGTCTTTAAAAGGAAATTCAACAGATTTAATAAGTGGAGCATATTGTTAATTCTTCTTAAGCGAAGATATTTTGACATTGTTTTGTAAACAAACAAGTCAAACGACATTTCTTGGAGTCTACGGAGACTTCACATGTTTACACTCACAGCACATAATGCTCTGCCCTCTCTGACTGGGAACAAAAACAATGTGATTTCTGACCTGTGACAGTTTTTATGGAGGAGCTGATTGTGGGCTCCACAGTCTTGTAAACTTGCTGAGGTCCAAAGATCAGCAGGAGACAAAGAAAGAGACAGGAGCGGGGGTTACTTTCATCTGATAACAGCCTTATCAGCTTGTTCAACATGCGCAACGGAAACTACGGTTGTACATTTGGTCTGGCGCTTTCACCTTTATATAGCTCTTTTGTATCAGAATTGTTTTTAACACCTCAACAGAAACAACAGTTTAAGAAATGTTCAGGTTACTGACCTCCACTTTTTCAAATGCAACGTGGCCCGTTTGCTGCAAAAAAAGAAAGTTAGTTTATTAAAGCACATTTTACAGCATATTATTTTCCCTTTAAAACATAATTCATTCATGTATTTTCCTTCTATCAAGGTTCAAACGCTTGATTTAGTCTTTCCACATTGTCCTTTTTTAATGTTTCCTCAGATAGAGTTCATTATTAAAAATAGCCCATGTTTCCCTGTATGCAGCAAAATGTGATAAAACCCAGAAGAGATAAATATGTCTTTGTACGAGAAAGGCTTTCACGCCTCACTGCAAGCTGACTTTTCACCTTTTTTAAATTAAACACATTCCTCAAACACTGTCTGTGCCAAAATGTCTTTCATCCAACACCAATAACAACTGATGGGCTTCACATCCACGTATTGCTCGTGTGACGTATTCTGGTTTGAAAAGTGATAAACATGCATCCGCTGCTTTGGGTTTCCCCCATGTGATTGTATTTTCTGCATTATTGGCACATAGGAGTCACACAGCTGACCTCAAAACTGTTGTTTAATTGAGGAAGACCCAAGAGGGATGTGAGAAGGACAGTTTGGGCTTTAGATTCTTTAACATTTTCACAAAATCTATGAAAACATGAGTCTAGATTAGGTTTAAACTCAGCAGGACTGATTCAGATTCAGAAAGACAATACAACTCGTGTTTTTCTTATAGATCTCACAGCTCTTTATTTGTTATAGCAGCTCACAACTTAGGCTGCTATTATTTATATTTATTCTTTCTTGGTAAATATAGCGTGCATTGAGAAATTCAAAGTAGAAATTCTGAAATATATACTCTGGCACAGCACATACCCCATCATTATGCTATTATTAAACTTCTTTGAAACCGAGTGGTTAGTGTCCACACCACATGCATTATTTTATTAAATGTTTCCTTCAACTATCAAATAAAGGAGTGAAACGATCAAACGTGTCTTTAGTGTCGGATGTGAACCCACCTGGCACTGGTTGGTGTATGGTTCTGCCAGCTTCCTCAGCGAGGCGACGCTCTCCTCCAGGGTCCCGGCCACTGGCTCCACATGAGGCTCTGCTTCAGGGATGTTGTATAATGACGGCAGCTGAAACAAACAACAACAATAAGGTGTTAAAGTATTATCCAAACTGCCTTTAATCCACTCAAACTGCCCCACAGGCCAGGCTAAATAAGGGTGTTTTGTTAGTTTTGACTTGGATATTAGTTAAACAAATACATAGAAGTTATTGATGATTGATCATAGACTAAACAGTTTGGAGTCTGGTATTTGATTTGACATCAAACCAACCCAGGTGATGACACACTGCTGTATAATGGCTTACTCCTTTGAACACAAGATGCATAAACAACACTGTCCCTATTGATAGCGAAAAGGTCAAATTTGAGCAAAGATGAATTAGTGCACCTAGTTTTCCTCCTGGGGGAAATACATAGCAGTCTGATACAATCAGAGAAACCAACATTGTTTTCCAACAATAATACAAAGACTTAGGAGACTTTTCAAGGATTGCAATATTGTCACCAGAATATCCAGAACGGCATTTACATACACTTACTTCTGAACTTCCTCTTTAATTTATATCTGCTAGCTAGTTGATAATACTTCAACTTATTTTTAAAGTTAATTAAATACTGTGTAATACAAGCATAATTAATGATTATGCAAAAATACCAATGTCAACAATGATAAACACTAATACTACGAACAATACAAATGTATTATTGGTCTTAGTATTGCAAATAGCTTTTACAAACCTACTGTAATCAATGGATACCACAATTTTGGACAATTTGGGTTAGGGTAAATATACTATTCTGTGTCCCGGGAATAAACAATATGTGCACAGGTGAAAGACTTTAAAACCCTTGAACTTATAAAAGCAAGGATTGCTCATTGTCAGGAAAAATGGTAATTGTATTCAGATATTACAACAGAAACAGAGAAAGGACTTGGTCAGCATGCAAATACCAGGTCTTAATTATCCTCAAGATAGAAAATCTGCACTGCCGGAGATGGAAAACCTTCTCAGATAAGATGGAAACAACCAACAATGGTGGGATTTTGTTTACAGTGTGACTATCTTGGACAAAGTTATAGTCGGGGTTCCAAATCCGGCAGCACCAACACCTGGTCTGCCACATGTGGAAGCCCCCCTTTAGTTTCTCACCTGCTGAGCCCTGAGTAAAATGCTTTTGTGTGCACAAACTACAGGTGAACAGCAAACAACAATTTGATTTTGGTGGGAGTACGACCACCCTGGACAAAGTTATAGTGGGGTTGCCAAATCCGGCAGCACCAACACTTGGTCCGCCACATGTGGAAGCCCCTCTTTAGTTTTTTGCCTGCTGAGCCCAGAGTAAAATGCTTTTGTGTAGGTCGGACCTCGGTATTTACGAAATCCTGGGTACAGGGCTTGGCTGTAAGTGATATAATGGTTTAAGTACAATTCAGGAATAAGTAAACTATAGACATGTACACATTTTATGTATAAGAGTGATTGTGGTATTGTTTTTCTTTTGTTATTTATTAGTCCTGTACCTAGAGCAATTCCCACTACAGCAACACTACAAACATATGATGATCAAGATTCAATGGTTTGGATTTACAGTATATTGGCATAACCTTAAACATCCAAAGCACTAAAATGCAACATACACATTCATGGTGCTTAAATATAAATCCATCAAATTCATTTATAATAGGAAAACACAGACAGGGAACATGTACTGCACAAAAAATACTTTTACTTTAAGTTAGGTGTTTAATGCAGGACTGCGGGAGTATTTTCCCAGTGTGGCATGAGTACTTATGAGTAACACAGGTAGATATTTCTCCCATTTGTTCTGAAGTTTGTCAAGTTTTCCCGCACCTGTTTGGTATTTATTTACCCACCTCATCGAGGCTCAGAACCGGCTGTGGGCTCTTCTTCTTCCCCTCGGATGCAGCCAGAACCGCAGAGCCGCACAGCAGACCCGTCAGCCCCGGAGCTACGGCACACAACGACACCTGGCGTGAAACAAGGCACAACACACACTCACATTCACATTCACATTCACGATAAAGATGATAATAAAGCCCTTGCCTTGACTGAAGCGTCAGTTAAAACACTCTATACAATAATTCTGACATTTCTGAGTTAAATCATATGACATCACGTTATATAAAGAGGGAAAGGGAGCGTTTGAATTAACTGACCTCTTAGCTACATCAGCTGACAACATGCTAACATTAACGGATTACTAATTTAGAAACGTTCAAACATATTTGAGTAGTACCAACCAAATTATGTAAGACTACGGAGCTAAGCTCCACTTAAATGCAGGAACGCCTGAAAAATACATAATGTTTAAGTTGACACAAAGGACATAAACGTTAAAAGTAGTTACCAGTTTCACATATGACATTCTGGTCCAGGAGAGATTCGCTTTTCTACGGCAAGTCGTAAGGCTGACACGACAAAAGGCGCATGCGCGTTATTCGCTGTATCTATTATAATCATACCAGCGCCATAGAGAGATGATATGAGATGGCTCTATGGCTCTGAATCATACTGTATATATATGACGCATAAAGATATATTAATTATACTATAGGTATAAACATTCCAAATAATCTTATGCATTTAATGAATGGAGTAGATCATTAGTAGATATAGAATTAATTCAAAAGAAGCTATAAGTAGAGTCAGAAATAAACACACAGATATTAAAGCACCCAGTTCAAAGTTGACCAATATGAACATTTATTTCTGGAAAGAAGTTACAAATCGTTTCCAAAGAGTTTCTACTCAGATTATAAGATATGTTAATCTGATTTTACTTTCTTTTTCAGATACAGTCGTTGCAAGGTATTGTTTTATTTTTGAAATCCTCTATTCTGTTTTCCTACTGACAGACTGGTGGACTAAAGGACGCTGCGCTATGACTGAATGTGCCATAAATCAGGACAGTAGTACTTTATCGGTTACACGTTTCTTCGTTTAACAGCAACATGACAGGAGGAGGATGAGAGTGATGTACATGACATCAGCCTCAGAGTTAAGCGACAAAAAAAACATACCGACTGTGTGACTTCTGTGGTTATTGTAAAGGTTTTGGATCTTAAAATCTGAGGCAAAATAGTGCAAAACCAGGAATAAATTATCTTGAACACGGTAAGAAAAAAAGCTTTGGGAATGAAATGTTTTGAGAACAAAAATTGATTATGTGAACCGAATGTTGAATTTGTAAAATGACAAATTTGAGCAGCATTATAGATTCATCAATAATTTCATTGAAATGTACTGAATCAACTACTCTTATACATTGAATGATCATTTTAGACATTTTCCAATCATAAGCACCAAACATCATGCTTGAAACAGATTTGAACAGAAATATCTTTAGATCTTTGACCGTTATATTTATTTGAAGATCTCACATCGGGCACTGGGAAATTATTTTTCCCTATTTTTCTTTTGACATTTTATTCACTACAGATTGTTTAGCCACCCCGGATTTCCTGGATTTTTTTTCCCCCCTCTGGAAACAAAGATGCAGTATGAAGTCCAAAATGAAACGCACAACATCTCACTGCTGAGGAGGCTTTAACGTGGGAAAGGTACACGGTCTAAGATTTCTACCATTGCCACAAAGCGATTAAGAGTTCCTCAAAAAAGGACAAGCTGCAGTGGCATCACATGAACACTGTAAAGTTCAGAAGAGAGGTTTGTGTGTGGACAGCAGGAAAAACTGTTCATAAAAAGAAGCGTGAATTAAAAAAGGATGATCCCTAGAAAACATGCCACCTTTAAACAAGTTCAAACAATATGAAAAACCTGTAAATGAAACATCTTTTGAATGACAATCTGCATACAGTTTCAGGACATGGTAATAAATGTTTCAGTTCCCTTCTTTAAAGTGTACCTGTTAAGACCCATCTAAATGTTAAAATACCTCCTCTATAGGATGATTATATTAACATAGAGCGTTCTCAAAGCATCCATTATAAGCCACATGCAGTGCTGCTCAGGAGAACAAATTAAAAGACAAAAAGTACAATTTGAAAACAACACAATGAAATTCTTGTAATAAATAACCCTACAACTGTTACTGCATAGCTCAGTGAAAGCAATACTTGAGAAAATAAATAACTTAAATTAACGGCTGAACTGCATCAGTATGTGTTCTCTAGCCCTTTTCACAGTTGGCTCATGGAAAATGAAAAATAAATATCTGGGAAATAAATGGTCAGAATGGACAGGCTTGCTGTGCTGCTTAAGCTTTACAGATCCTACCACAACAGAAACTTCTGATATAACTGAAGCAAAGGCGGCATTTCAATGTCTGAAATCAACAGATCTGACTGAAAAACCACGGTTAGAAATCAGCTTTGGTAATAATCTTCTAACACCCTTGCTGGCATTTTTTTTTAAGTTTCAATGCTGCGAGTCTTGGTTACACTGAGCTCTGCTGGCTCAAATATTAGTACACGCAAAATGTATTTGTACCAGAAACACGCCAAATACTTAATAATTTGCAGGGCCACGTGCAAAAAAAGTTCATAGGAATATATTTATATTTCGGTGATGAGTGCAAGCAATTTAAGATATTTGGAACATTAGTATATTTTACTTTTCTCTTGTCTCTTTCATTTTAGATACAAAAAACCCCCATTAAAAACAAAGTTGCATATTCGCAATATGAGTCATGAGAACAGGAAAACACGCTAATTTGACTTTATATGCCTTGAACTTCATGAATTTGGAGCTTAATCTGGTAGCGAATGAACGAAAGCAGGAACTTTATGCTAAATCTATTTTATGTTCACCATATCATCATGGTTGCCAAATTCCTGAGAGATTAATTTTAGATTTAGTGATTTCTATTGGCACAGAAACTTAAGTATTTGTTGGAATGGTCTCCAATAGCTGCCTCAGTCTTTATTGCAGGTGTTTGACAGTGTAAAATCACGTATAATAGAATATAATTGTATCATATCTAAAATCTCCATGACTGTTACTTAGCACCAAGCCTGACATTAAATCCTGATGATATTTTCTAATTTGTTTTAAGGTTCTTTACACTTTACTCAAAGAGCTAAATGTGTTTGCTATTAGCTGACAGCAGGACTCAAACATCTATTTTAAGTCTTATTTTGATTCTTTGGTAAGTTTCTTCTTAAAAACGAAGAGAAAAAGGCAGCATGAAATGGACATTTTAGGGCCATTTATCATCCTTATGACTCGTTCAAACATAACTAATTATGTGAAGTTCAGGAATAGTAGGCGACATTCTTTCTGCATGAGGCCCAATGTTTCCTAGATATATTAACTATCTGCATGTTTCATGGTTGGTGCATTTGTAGTTCAGTCAGAATGTTAATATCAGACAGATGTCTTACAGCATGTTGTAATACTACAGTTTGAGTTTAAAGTACAGCTGGTGCGTTTTCACTCAACAGCCACAACAAAGCCAAAAATAAAGTGCAGGGAATGAAAACGTGAGTTGGTAAAGAGCTCTAACTATGCATGTTATCTAAAAAAACAAACCGATGATCTCATGTACCATGTAGTGTTATGGTTTTCCTCTTTATCTTGCATTCAGCTCTCATACACACTCACACCCACACACACCTAGAGGAAGGAGAGGGAGCACAGAGATCTGTGTTGTTTTATGAACATGGTGGATATCTGGGAGTAAAAAGCAGAATATAAGGACTAAAAGCTGGAACGCACTGGAAGAAAATGTATCACTTCAAGATGAAATTGTTAGCAGCATCTGTGACAACGTGTGTTTACACTCTGCTTTGTATATTTGGAGACAGTTCATAGAATGAACTACACTACAGTAAATAGTGTTAGTATTTTGTTTGTATACTAGCTGTTATATATCTTATAGGTTGTTTTTGGATTACTGGCTTTGACTCATCTTTTTCTTAAAATGGGACCTATTATGCAAAATCCACTTTCTCTTGTCTTTTATACATAACCATGTGTCCCCTCTGTGTAAAGAGATTCTGAAAGTTTCAGGAAAAAAGATTTGCTCACTTTTTGTCCTGATCCATTTATATAAAAACCTGTCTGAAAATGAGCTGATCAGATTTTGGCCAGATTTTAATCCTAACCCCCCACACACACACCTTATCACCTGCATCTCCTCCTAGAGCACCATTGTGTTCTTTGTAACCAGATATCTCTCAGAGGGGCGTGGGGAGGGGCTCCTTATTTTCATCTAAAGTAACAGACAGAGAATCAGCACTTTTGAAACAGGGCTGAAACAGAGGGGATTATGGGTAATGCTGCAATGATCTGTTTGGTGTTTGGAGCCAAACATCAGAGACATGTTCTGTATATATCTGAGAACTATAATATGTTGATGAGAAAGAGCATAATAGGGGACCTTTAATACGAGCAACTTCATTCATTTAAATATGTCAACAGGTGCAGGATAATAAACCTACTCAAACTGGATTCGAGGAGGAAATAAATAAATACAATGTCCCTTTGTAAAAGCATGAATGTGACGCTTCCAGTGCGTTTCTGCATTAAACCTGACTGCACAGCCTAAATACAGTATGTGAGTAGTAGAATAGGAAACTGACCACAGTCTGAAACATAAACCAGCAGAATTAAAACTTTTTTTTCACTCCCCACACATTATTTTCCTTACATTTTCTGAGAAAGCGAAACATGAAAATGTCCAAGTGGCGTCTCACCACGCCACGCTTCCATTGGCTTCATGAAGAAGAACAGCAGATGTATCTTTTCCTCACCTTAAGGAAAGTTTAAAAGCCCATACTTGACCTCAGTCTTCATTCCCGTTTCTATAAAAAGGAGGCGTGTTGGAGCAGACCTCAGCTGCAGCGTCTCACGTGCTCCAACACGTACTCTGGGAAGTGCAGGCTGCACACCTGCAGACCGTCCAGTTTGCAAGGCATCCTGGGATACTCGTCCTCCTTCCACTTGTTCTCGTCGGGGTCGAATGTGAGGATGGAGTCACTGTAGTGGCCGTTGTAACAGAGGCCTCCGAGCACCATGATCTGCCGGTCCAGCACCGCCACCCCGTGCCCACTGCGCCCGATGGGCATGGAGCCGAGGATGGTCCACTCGTCGGTGTCGGGGTCGTACACCTCGGTGGACGGGCAGCCCTGAGACTCGAAGGATGCGCGCAGGATCACGCACACGCCTCCGAACACGTACAGCTTCCCGTTGTGGGAGATCATCTTGTGGAAGCAGCGGGCGTAGTTCATTTTGGATTTGTTCTCCCAGCAGCTGGCATGGGTGCCGGGCAGCGCTGGGCCGCGGCTGGTGCGTGTCCTGTGAGCATCCGATCCCCCCGAGCTGCCTCCCCCTGCTCCTGCTCCTGCTCCTCCTCCCCCTCCTCCTGCTGCTGCTGCTGCTGCTGCTGCTGCTCCTGCTCCTGCTCCTGCTCCTCCTCCTCCTCCTGCTCCTCCTCCTCCACCACCACCACCCACCTCCTCCCCCTCCTCCTCCAGCTGCCTCCCGCCCTGGGTCGAACACACACACTTGTTTGGAGGTGGAGGAGGATGTGATGCCGCCGGTGATGTAGAGTTTCCCGCTGAGCACCGTCCCCTCGTGGCCGTACTTGTTGACGGGGTACGGGTCCACGAACTCCCAGCGGTCCTCTGTGATGTCGTAGCGCTCGGTGGAGTAAAACGTCTCGTCTCGCGTGCGGCCCGCTACTGCGTAAATGAACTTACCGATGACGCCCACGGCAAACTCCGACCTGCAAACACAAAGAATATCTGTAAACAACTGCTTTTCAGAAGTCATTCAACAACTCGGCATCCAACATTATTAATTTGACTGCAAGTGAAATGTGAGCTTCTGATAAACAAGGGCCATTTATATCACACTTTGTATACAATATGACAAACCCTCCTAGCTCCAGCTCCTCTCACCTGGGCACGGACATGTCGGCCATGCGCAGCCAGGAGTTCTGTCGGGGGTCATAGCGGTAGACTTTGGAGGAGGCATGGAACTCTCCGTCGGGCCCCAGCTCCTCCCCGCCCAGCAGGAAGGCAAAGTTGTTTACGATGGCCAGGCAGTCGGGTCGCAGCGGCACCTGAGGGCCCTCCAGCTCCCACCACACCTGAGGGGGGAAACACAGCTCACTGAACCTCAGACACTTTTATGTGATATATACGGATTAAACTTGTGTTACATCAGGGTCAGGTAAGACATTTGAAAGCAGCTTGAGATACATTCTGATAAAAACTCATCTTGGGATTTCCAAAAAGTATTAATACAAAGATTTTCTGTAATAGTAAAAATCCAACTTTAGAATTCAATAATGCGGCCCATGTCTACCCACTCAACGTGTCACCTGCTACTAAGTTAATATAAATAATGTCTACTAAATTAAAAACAAAGTGGTCAGACATGCTCTTGTAGGCAGAGATATGACACCTTTGGTCTCTGCAGCAGCAGGATCTTGCTGTTGACCATGCTGTGTCCGATCATCCCTCTGAACACGGCGGTCTGCGGCCGCACCGAGCGGATGCGGTTGGAGCGAGTCTCCACCAAAGGCTGCTGGTTGACATCGTGGAAGTAGCTGAGCGCCAGGTCCACTTCCTGCCGCAGCTGCCGGGAGTAACGGTAAAACTCTGACGTCTTTACCTGAGGCGAGGAGGAGGACAAAAGCCTGTTAGCATGATCTGAGCTACTTGTTCCTCTTCTGCATCAAGTGTTTTTCAGTATGAATCAATATAAACTTAGCAGGACATTTCCCAGAAAGCAGCGCTGACCTTCTCGAAAATGTTTGCTGGCGTCATGAGGCAGAAGCGGATGGACTGCACGATGGTGTCTGTGTGTCTCCAGCGCCGCCGGTCATGCCGCAGCCACGACTGCACGGCTTCATACAACTCGATCTCCGGGAAGCGACTTAGGGCGTCGCTGTTCAAGTAAGACTGGGGCAGAGAAAAAGAAACACTGGATTTAGAAAAGGTTTGGCATTACAGCAGTTTTTTTTTTACTGAATATCATATGGCTTTACTGGATAGCTTAAAGCTCTGTTTATAACTTTGACATTAACATTTTAGAATCAACATTTGCATGCTTCGGTGTTCTGCCTGCGTATGGATTGCTTTTTAGGATGGTATTTCTACACATTAACAAATAAAGATGATGCTATATTAACATTATTATAGTTATTTTCCAGTAGGGACCTTGTAGGATTGTAAACACTTTCAGTATTTTCCTAAATACACAATATTTTTAGTGGTAGGTATATTAAATTGGTGTTAAGAATTCCCCAAACAAATTGTCAAAAATGTTGGAAGGGAGAACCTCACCGAACAGATTTATTCATGAAAAGATCTTGTGTAAAGTCTTGAGGATTGTTTGTTTTTTGGGGCTTGGATGGCGGTAATATGTCAACAGACATTTATAGCTTCAAGCATAACGTCAGTACGAGCTCAAACATTTAGAAAATTACTTATAAAACTGTTTGTGGCCCAATGTTAAATGTCCCACTGAGTGTGTGTCTTGGTCATTAATACATCCTGACGGTAATGACAGTAGGTATTAATAGCTCTAATTTGGCTGCAAAAACAACATTCTTACCTGCAGTCTCTCGAGGCTGAGGTAGGACAGGAAGTCTGGTCGGCTCATGAGGGGTACAAAGTTTTCAAGCAGGAAGTTATCAAGCTGCTCCTGGACACCCTCCACACCCACGCTGAAGTCCTCCAGGAGGCGCATGACCTCGGCACAGTTTTCCAGACAGATCTTAGCCAGCAGGAAGGAGCAGCAGAACTCCACCGCCTCCGTGAGCTGCACGTACATGGCCGCCTGGCGGGACAGGAAGTGGAGAAGTGAAAATGTATAAAATGCTGTTCCTGTGACAGACTATTCTTTGCCAACATTTAAGCAGTAGTCCAGGAAATACGTTTTTTTGATAATCTGCAAAGACACATTTTGTTCCCCCCACAGATAAATCACTTCTGAAAATAGAAAGTCAAACATTAGTCTCCCTTTCCTATCCAAAGAATATTTTTGGGGCAGTAGAGCCAATAAAATACCTATACATTTCTTTCAAAAGATGTGCTCAAGATAGGAATAATAAATGGTGCAGGAATGATTGATTTCTATAGTGGACCCTGAAGGTAGCATCTTCATGGTTCGATCAATGACATTTCAAAAGAAACAGTGACTTCCAGCAAGTGGACAGGAAGTGCTAAAATGCTAGTGTTTTACGACTCATTCCAGTATTGTGTTGCAGAGAGGATGTCAGATTGTGTTTGGCCTTACCTGCAGGATCTCTTGCACAGTGGGCATGCTGAGCTCCAGAGAGCCATAGTACATGAAGCGGAGAATGTGTCCGAAGCCAGCGGCCGTCAGCCCCTTCATGTGGATCTTGTCCTGGTCCCTCTCCCTCATGTCCGCCGTGAACATGACCCGGAAATAGTCGCTCTGCGTGGCCAGAAGCGCCTTGTGGGCCTGCAGGAGGACAGACATGAGTAATATAAATATAAAATATAAATAAATAATAAATAATAAATAATAATAAATATAAAAAGGAAAAAGACTTTACTTGGTTTTATTCCGTTAGATTTTAGAATAAGTTAGTTAGATTAAAGTGTAATGGCTTGTATGGACTTTTTTGGAAGAGACCTGTCTCTCTGGGAATAAAAGCAGTTTTTTGTTCCTTGAAAGTCGCCTTACATCAGTATTTTACAGATTAAAAGTTGCTAAGAAGTCTTTTTCTAAATCCTGCAAGTTTATATCTTCAATAATTATCAATTTTATAAGACATCTGTGACTGGATTGTCTAAATTCTGCAGAGATATTCCTGCAGTCATAAGTAAAGGGATATGTATACAGTCTTGAATGAGGGCTTCATACATGCATATGGACTGTGTGTACCTGGAAGTGGTGCTCCTCTATCAGCAGTGTGACGTCCAGCAGCAGGCGCTCCTCGTACAGCGCCCTGAAGCCCGACGACACACTCCCATCATGCACCTGGGACAGGTACACCTCCACATCTGCCCCTGACATAACACACCTGCAGGCATGACGCAGGAACAGGCGGGGGATGGAGACCGGGTGAGTTGATAACAACAGATATATAAAGACTAGAATTAAATAGGATTAGAAAACAAAACCAGCAGATGAGCTCTCCAAGGTAACGTTTGTGTGCTGCTGAATAAAGTAAGCCGGGGAATTGAAGGGCTTTTAAAAGGACGTTCAGCTTTAAAAGCTCAGCACTTCAGCTGCATCCTAACAAGCTGTTACTCATTCACAAAGAAAGAGTAACTGCACTGGGGAAATAAACCTGCTCCACTGCAACATAGCGAGGAGGTAAAAGAGAAAATAAAAGATACTGCAACATCATCCAGTTTCTTAAGCATCAAAATACACAGCGTTTTGGCATCTCAAAATAATTTAATTAAAATAATCAGAAAGCTGTCTCAAAATAAAAGATTTGTTGTCATTATTTTTCGACAGTTTATCATTATGATGGGATACTAAGTCATTAAGTGTAAGAAAACTTCCCAATAAATGTAAGCCTAAGTTTTATCTTAATTTGAATTGTACTGGTCACAAAGTGATGGTTAGTAATAGAAACAAAATACACACAAACCTTTTATATATCAACAAAAGAAAGTAGAAAACACACATTCTCTGCACACAATTGAAAACAAACACAAACACACACAGCACACTCACCTCTGATTGGCCACGGGCATGTCAGAGGGGGCTGTCCGAGCCAATCAGAGGACAGTGCCCCTTGTGTCCAGGAGATGCTAACAAAGTCCCTTTTCTGAGCGCCAATCACCTGGACGACAAAGCCAACACACCCGCCACATTACAGCGTGAACGTCTGCAAACTGCAATAAAAAAAAAACAGCCGTACAAGGACTTCAATAACTGGACAAAAGTATGTGGAGATCCACACACACACACACACATACACACACACACACACACACCACATCGTTTTGGCCTTAAAACTGTTTGCATATCGCTTTTGTTAGTCAACAAGTTTAAAACTGATGGACAGTTCTGAAACAAACCTCCAGCAATAAGTGGCATTATTTAAACTGTCAGCACAAAATACAAAGAAGTGAGAGATCAAGAGGAGGAAATAAAGAGCTGATCAGGTTTTTGGGTTAACATGAAGTGTTGCAGACCGTTAATTCATACCTTTTGGAGCCCAGGGGAACAATCACAGGCTTTGTGGGCTGAGCGTTAAGGGGTCGCTCGCATTTCCTGTGTTTATGTTTCCCTGGTTCTAACAGAGAAACAGAAGAAGAACCGTAAGATGCTGGAGGACGACGGAAAACTAAAGAGAGACATCAAATGTGCCACGACACAAACAGACCACATGTACGTATAACAAAACATAAACAAAAAATGATGATAAAAGATACTAACACACTTGAAATAATGATTATGTAAATCAAAATAATGATTTAGATTCTCAAAATGATGATTTAGTATGTTAAAATTAGGAATCAGTATTTCAAAGCAAGGACTTAGTAAGTCAAGATAATGAAAGATTAATCAAAATAATAACTAAGTTACTCAAGGTAATGAGAAACTCTCAAAATAACCTTTGATGACCTGAAACAATGACTAAGATTTCTTAAAATAATGGCTTAACAACTTAATATAATAATTTAAGTCTCAAGATAATGACTTAGTAACTCAAAAATAGTAAGAAACTTTGTCAAATTAATAATTTAATCTTCAATATAGTGAGAAACTTTCCAAAACAATGACTTTGTATTTAAACTAGAAAGAAACGTGTCATTATTTTTGAAAAAGTGTTCTACTCTGTTGTGGTACTAAGTCCTCCTTTTGAGTTTCATTATAATGACTTACAGGTTTTTTCTTTTTTCATTACAAGGCTATATAATGTTTTCCTTTCACTGTCAGAAATGTTTTTCCATATCTGGTGCTCTCATAAAGCCATGTTACTTTTCTCTGAAATATTAACACTACCTAAATGTTCCCTGCACACAGTAGATGAAGTGTATCAAAATAAGTGAGAAGCACATCATTCCCATTGCCTTGTAATAAAGGAAATACTTTGCTTTGTTCAAATAATAAATAATCGTATACACCTTTTGTTTTTACTTGAGCTATGTGACCTTACATGCTGGTATTAGATGCCAAAAACAAAGGCTCAGGCTATACATAATAATGGTACACACACAAAAGATGAAACATGTCTTTTAATTTGTATAATGTGTAAAATGTTAAAATATTTCACTTCAGAGCTAGCTACCTGCTAGCCAAATTAACTGTCACGATTTTCAGCGGCTGGAGCTACGGGGGACCCAACACTGCTCTGCCGGGGTAACAGCTTAGCTTAGCGGCTAAAACCAGCCGTCTCACCTCGGCGGTGCGAATCCCCACAGCCCCTCTTCGACCAGGCAGCTCCGGCTCCGTCGGACATGAAGTTGAGGGTTCAATTCCAGGTTCAGGAGAGCGGTTGGCAGCGGTTCACTGCCATGTTATCCTCCATCTGCCAGACGAGGAGATCCCCCACTCGGCTCAGAAATTAAACGGGTAGTAAGAAACCACAGCGGTCCACAGGCTTTGCGGACGCCATCTTCTGCACCCGCGTCACTTCCCTTTTGGGCGGAACTGAAGGGCGTAGTGCGGCAGAGAGATCGTATGTAGTAGAAAGATGTGTCACTCTGAAATGATATCAACATCTGCAGCACAAAGTTTCGTTGGTGATGCTAAAGTCCAGCTTTATTTAGTTACTTATTTATCATCTGTTTACTTACTTACGTACTTACTTGCATTTAAAAAATGAATATTTCAGAGAAATTGTACAATGGAAAACCCCATTTAACATATAAAGCTATTTTTTTTTCAATCATACATAATTTCTAATATTTTTTTTATCATTGTTTGCCTGCCATTGTATAATGTAACTTTAACTTTGTTAATTAATAGATGTTATTAATATGGGCAACACATGCCCTTAAAGTTTGAATTAACCTTTTTATTGGTACAAAATTGTATATGCTTTTATATACAGTTCTTCTCAATAAAAACAATTAAGAACATACTTCTATATAATACTAAAATATGATTTTGAGAGAATATTATATTACATTGTTGCATTACACCCACATGAAAACATTCTCAGACACGTTTTTTGCTTGTAAACTTCATTAGAATTTATTTGAAGCATTGTAATCAATACATAACTGTAACTTCAATGTGTGAAATCTCGCAGGAATTGAAGAGTTTCTGTCCCTGCGATGGACCCATTTTTCCGGATTTCTGAACCACTGGACATATTGAAATGCCATTATTTATTCTCTAGAATTCCACATTCAACTGTGGATGATCTATAAATCTTTCTCATACAGGACTTCATCTATGAGCACATCGTTGTCATCGACAGGGATTTCTGGAAGCAGCTGCTCTTTGAAGGCGAGGGCGATGGTGTAGGGCTTCCCTTTGGGGTGCTTCATACAGCGCTCCAGGTAGGTGTCGTAGAAACCCTTCCCTCGGCCCAGACGCTTCCCCAGACTGTCAAAACCCAGCCCTGGCATCAGGATCAGATCCAAACCTGGTGTAGGAAATATTGTTTTCACTTAACATAAGTAGGCTAGTTGTAAAAGCTGTTGATGTGTAATTGCCTAAAACATATGCATTGTACTTACAAAGGCTTACTTGAGTTAAGGTAATTTTAAAACTGAACTTGATTATTTACTTTTAATTTACTCTTGAGTGAGTAAAGACTTTACAGAGTTATTATTTCTTGAATATTTAAAGATTGTGAAATGGTCCGTTTTTTATATCTGGGCATTCTATTCTCCTTTATTGTTGCACTGAAAATAAATGTGTTTTTATATGTTTTACATATTTGGCTTTTGAATCAAAAAGGTCTGGGGGGATTTTTTCTTAGCAGTGAGAAATAATTACTTAGGCCTATGTATCATATTATTTAAATATATACATTGGTGGCGCATACATATTATCAACTTTGAGGGACTTGCAGCCTACTTTACTTGAGTATTTCCATTTTATGCTACTTACAATTTGAAAGCAAATACTGTAATTTTTGTCGGTTCAATGGATAAATACAATAAAAGTAAACTAAAGAATTATGATGTCCTTTAAGGGATTAATATACCATGCATGCAGTATAAAAAGCCATTAAAGTTAGCTCAAATTTTACCAGGTGTTAAATTAAAATTAAGAACACAAGAATGCATCACTGACATTGATATATATATATATATGTATTATTTATTATGAGTGATTTAAGTAAAAGTATATTTTGATGCAACAACTTTATAAGCTAAGTAACATTTTTAATGCATGATTTGTACATGTAACACTGTCTGAATAAAATAAGGATATAATTCCCACCTCCTGCAGACAGTGCCTCCTCTCTGCTGCTGTCCTCTGCTGCAGGCTGCTGGATGTTCCACGCAGTGAGCGGCAGGGTCTCCATGTCCTGCAGACTGCGGAGCTGCAACATGTCCATGTGGTTGCTGCTGCTCTCATATCTGGGAATAAAGCAGCTTTTCCCACATTGAAACACGTCTCTGATGATCTCCTCTGTGCGCACCTCATCGTGCATGCTCAGAAACACTGCGATCCTCTTGCAGGACACATACTTGGGGTGTCTGAACAGCTGTTTGGAGAGGACCGAAGACTGTCGTCGCTTCTCCTCGTCACTTAACGCTGCTACACGCCGCTTTATTTCTTTCCTTAAAGCTTGCTTTGCTGCACGCAGGGCGGCCATTCTTCCCGTTATAACTTTAAATAGTCTGAATAAAAGTTGATTTAACAAATAAGTATTCTAAGTTTGTTCTGCACGCGTTTTCTACTGTGAACAATGCGATCTCAACATGGACAGCCTATCTTTTTAGAAGTTAAACATTAACAAGTAGGACTGCAAACACATGGCAGGGGTTAAAAACGGTCAAAAAAGTAATGACAGCAAGGATTGTGTTAACCCCTAATATTACAGTAAACAGTCCAGCAAAGACTCCACGCGCCGCGTGACTGTGATGTCGGCTGCATGCCGGAAGTCAAACTTCTTTTTTTTTAACAAGTTAGAAGTACAGATTTTTTTCAGAAAAAATGACAAGAGAAACCATAAACAACATGCATAGGCCTACTACCATAATATTTTAATAATATAATTTCTAACAGCAGCAAACCTGTGGAGGGGTAAATCTCTCTTGTTTATTCTTTATTTTTGTTCGAGTAAATATTGTATCATATTACAGTTTATTTCCCGTTTGAGATTTTGGTTTATAAATTCAACAAAACAAAATATATTTTTTTGAAAACTACAAACAACAAAACATGTTTTTTTTTTACAAACTACACTACAGGACTACATAAATGACATTTGATGACGTCAATTTACAACGACGGCCCTGACACATGGTAAAACATATTTTAGTTTTTTATTTATTGTACAAAACTGTTCAAACGTGTCCCCTGTTGGGTGTTTAATTGTTGTTAACGGTTTATTGACAACAACAGCGTCATTTAATTAAATGCATTTTACAATAAAAAATGAATTGCATCAGTCGTTCTGAAAGGACCCCGTTGGATGAGTTACACGAGTTGAAGCCACTATCTTTGTATTTTGTCAATGAAAATAAATATATAACCTAGGACGTGTATTAAGGATACATGTTTTCTACCAACTGTACAAAAATCTGAGATAATTTGATGGAAAAAAAAAAATTGGCACAGAGAAAGAGTCTTTTTTAGCAGTTGATCAGGCATTCGCCGCAGCCGCCTCCTTCATTGCCTTTTCATTCAAGATGGCGGGTGACGAGTTTGGTAGTACAACGCTGGGCCAGCCCCATCTGGCTAGACAAGACCTTAGTACTCTGGTAAGTGTCAGTTTAACGGATTTAAGAGTTATGTTTATTTGTATTGGGGATTGTTGGTCCGGTGTGTTTCCAAAATAAACCCTTAAAGTGCCGATTATTACCGCTAATAGTCGCCGGTGCTACTACGCCGGCACATGACGACAGGCCCGGCGGGGCGGATAGTCAACGTACCCGCAACACTATTTCCCCTGGATAGACGTTAAACTAAACTCAAATAAAGATTTCATGATTACACAAACGGTTACACGTTATATTTACAGCGCCGTTGTAATTGCCAGTTTTGTAGTGCGCCAGTTTTATCTGCTTACCTTGTTGGATTAAATCGTTAGCATCATATGCTAAATGTAAGTAAAATCTACATTCTCAATGGGAGTCGTAACTGTGATGGAAGGAGACATGTTGTTCAATATATTCCTTTTCATTCCAGGCGTATTACAGCAGATGTAATCGTCATATCTGAAATATGTGGATACTAGTATAAGGATAACACTAGACCACATACTCAAATACCTTTTAATCAGTAGACAAAGAACATGATACAGACGGCATACTTTGTTATAAAACCAGTTTTAATATGTTCAGTTATCTTTCATGTCATTTTTAATAAAATCAAATATAATAGCCATAGGAACTGAGCATCTACTTCATATGTTTGCAGTCAGTGTGGGGCATTGGGGTTGCTCTCTATTGTTTCTTTTCACCTCCAGGATTAAAGCGAAAGGGTCAGCGCTGCACTGCTCACAAACAAAACCTTTCAAATGATCTGTTTTTCAGTTTAGGTTGACTAATGCAAGTTGTTTTCTTCTGTTACAGAATGTGTCTACTTTGACACCTCTCTCAAGAGAGATTATTAGCAGACAGGCCACCATCAATATTGGTAAGTGAATCCTGCCAACTATTGGTTGACATTTTGTGTATTTCAGCTTGTTGAATATTATAAGTCAAGACTTCCTGTTTCGACATGTCGTCTTCTTCTTCTCCCAGGCACCATTGGTCATGTGGCCCACGGAAAGTCCACAGTAGTGAAGGCCATCTCTGGTGTCCACACTGTTAGATTCAAGAACGAGCTTGAGAGGAACATCACCATCAAGCTAGGATATGCTAACGCTAAGGTACGTGGGGGATTTAGTTGTCTGTCTACCTGACATCTTCCTCCTTTTGAGAAAACTGTGTTTTACTTGTTTGGATTATAATTGCAAGATTTGTATTATTACTTGGGGTCAAGTACTTCCTCACCAATAACATGATGTGTGTGTGCGTCTATATTGTTAGTCGCTAAAAACGTCATGCTGCACACGCATGTCATTGGAACTGTTAAAAAATCAGATCTATGGAAAAAGCTATGACAGTTTCCGATTATGGCTGATCAACAGGTGTGTTTTCTATGTCTCAGTTTGCAAGTAAAGTCAATTAATCACTTAAATAAAGAAGCAGAGGGTGCTTTTAAAGCCACACTTTTCCCTGTAAAGAAATGCCTTCAATTTGACACTACAATAGGATGCAAATCATTCAAATGACTGGACATTTCCTTGTTTGCAGGTCTATAAGCTGGACGACCCCAGCTGTCCCAGGCCAGAGTGCTACAGGTCGTGTGGCAGCAGCACACCTGATGAGTTCCCCTCAGACATCCCCGGCACCAAGGGCCACTTCAAACTGGTCAGGTGAGTCTGAAGAGAGAGTGAGACGGGGTGGTCATTTTCCCCCTGCAGGGATTAAGCCTTTTCATCTGATCCT